TATCCTACTTTATTATTCTATCCACCCAAAGGTTGCCTGGTAGATATCGCTTTTAGCGATAAGGCCGCCTTTGTACCCTATTTTCTTTATTTGTTCCTTGATGTACTGTCTCAAATTGGTGTACAATAAAGATTATTTATTATTTATTATTATTATTATTATTTTTTTTAATTGACTCCCTCGCCGAGTAGTCGCTAGGGCGACTGCCTGGGCAAGGGCCTTGGGTTCAATTCCCAGGTAGGGCAAAGTATTTCTAGGTTTTTAAAAAATCTTAGCAGTATCACAGAGTCTGGAATTGTGCCCAGCATATGGCATTATTCACCCCCTATTACATGTGACTCATAACATAATTAGTAAAAAGTTACATTGTGCAGTAGCATCAAGTGGCGTAATGTGCAAAGTCAAAGTCAAAGCATTTATTTCAATTTAACCATAATTTGGTACCTTTGAAACGTCAACAAATACAAAATAAATAATAGTCTGTCAGTCAAGGCGTCAGTGAAGCTAGGTGAAGCTAGGTGCTCATTCCAAAATGTAAATTCGAATGGAGAAGAACGCGCAAAAAACTAAATTCGTTACTCTTTTTTAAAAAAGTACCGGCACCTCTGCCTTCCCCTTCAGCGTTATGTTACGATAATATGAAATGTTTATTTAAACGGTTCTAAAATCTCGATGCTGTACACCTGTGTTACTTTGTAAGTATCGTATAAATAATTCAATATTAACTAACATTGTTTAATTACGTTCATAAGTTCTATGAATCGAGTAAGCAATTATTCGCATAGCTATTGTCGTACACTAACTTTTGCCCGCGGCTTTGATGGAGCTCTTTTCAAGGGTTGGGGCTGATTTACAGAAACAAATGATAAACGATTTCTTTATTTTTTCTATTTTTTTATGGCATAACCCGGTAAACGAGCAGACGGATCACCTGATGGTAAGCAATCGGCGTCGCCCATGGACACCTGGTACACCAGGGGCGTTTCAAGTGCGTTACCGGCATTTCGGGAATTTTTATTATTCACAAAATAGTCCGCACACCATTTTTCAGTTCTCTACCTTGAAATGCTACATACTAACTTCCACCCCCAGTTTAGGGAAGTGGGGGGTTAGAGAATAAGTATCTGCACATAAAAAATCATGTTAATTTATTGCTCCGTTTTGTCATAAAAGACGGACAAACAAACAGACACACACACTTTTGCATTTATTATATTACGTTGTCATAAATTATATTAGTATACATAGATTATAATATATACATATTTGTTATATATAAGAGCGTACCTATATGTATTATTAAGTTTTTGATTGTTTCATAATATAACGTTAACAATAGATAAATATAAGATAATGTAACATCTTTACACCAGCTGTTATGCTATGAGTTAAGAGTCCCATGTAATAAGACCATAATGATGAATAAGAGCCTATTACCATACACCGGACATCATTTCCTTTAGAAATTTTAGAAGTCCCAAAAACTTAATTCTACTTTGTCGGAGTGAATCGGAAATTTGAACCTAAAGTACTGCTCGTCTGCTGCGTTAGCAGCCATTCAAACAACGACCCAGTCATAACATTATCATCAAAACGCTGTTCGAGATAAAATCAGAAACTGCTGGACTGATTTTCATGCGATATTTACCAGAAGTTAAACGTTTTAAATTCTTGAAAGAGATGTAGCTATCTGGACCGTACTGCGGACGAAACTCTGTGATTAAAAACTTCATAATTTTATACAATGTCTACATTTTAAATTGAAATATTCAATGCATGAGAAAAGTTTTCTTACTTCACGTGAACTTCGAACTTTACCTACTAAGTTGGCACTTTGAAAGTGAACACTGTATCCTAGTTTCAAGTTACTGTCAAAGGATTCTTTGATGTATTCACTATAAGTAAGAAACCTATTTCCGTAACCTTCCGTCTCTTAGCAATTTGTTTTATGTATATTAAACAAAATTTCGTTTGATTTCATTTTTTGTTTGAAAAATTAAAAAATGTTTTACAATTATTTATTTTTAATCTGCACGCTGTGATGTTTGTAAATTGATAAATGTTTTGGCAATTTGAATTCAGAATTAAATGGAATCGGTGTAGAACGTTTTGAATTTTCTTATTACGATTTGAATTAAAAATGTGATCATATCAAATCATTTAAGTATTACAAAAATATTTTCTAAAATAATAAGCGAATTATTTTTTTTAAATATCGTAACACTAACACGTAATAAAAAACGCAATGCCCAATATTTATTCTTAATAAAACTAAATTAGTTTATTGGTATAACAAAATAACAATGAAAGGAATTCAAAAAACAAATTCGCGTTCTAAAAATAAAATAAAATTATCCAAGGAGGTTTACTAACAATAAGTTTTATTAGAGGCAGAATAAATAAATACCTTTGAGCGGCCTGTCGCCGAGCGTCATCTGTTTTTGTTGCGCGGGAAAGTCAGAATTGGTAGACGTTTTCGTAAATTAGCTTATGGTTAATTAGTTTATTCATGAATGTTAATATTAATATTGTTTGTTTAAACTGTTTGTATGACCTTCTTATTCGTGAGGACTTTAATAGGTAAGTCTAAGAAGTGTGTATTGTATTTCATTTTGTACCTAGTTAGATTAAATTGTAGTAGTCGTAGATTAATTACGTTTTGCTTTTGCACAATGTTCATGTTCTCAACTCACTTTAAACAAAGTGAGTTCTTAGTTTTTAAATTGACAGCGTTATTTATATGTGCAGTATACATAATTATGTACTATAATACTGTCTCGTATTGTATTTAAGGTGTTTTACAATCTGGAATTAGCCGGTAAACGAGCAGATGGATCACTTGATGATAAACAATCGGCACTGCCCATGGACACCCGAAATACCAGAAGCGTTACAAGTGCGTTGCCTAAATTGGGGCTTTTGGGGATTAGGAATTTGAAGATTGTAGGGAGATTGGGGATGGGGTTTTTTTTCTTCCCTTTGGCAACCGAGTCTCCAATACGATGTTGTCGACTATACTGCCAGTGTCGAGTGGTGACGGCAGATTAAGGCACCGTCGAGTTTTAACTTTGCGGTAGTTTTTAGTTGTTTGTAGAAAAGGACGAAAACAATAGTGATAGTAAACATATATCGTCAATAGACCTAATATTATAATAATTTTACATAATAGATAGGGGAGAGGGTTAATTGAGTGTTTAAACTAATGTAACATTGTGACAAGCAAGACCATAGATCGTTGTTGAAATACTTACTTTTTTAATTATTATATTCGCCTCTTTATTTATGTACAATGGCCAGCAGATCACCTACTCTAATCTATTAATTTTATTCATTGAACTTTTGACTTTATGTCAATACTATAAAGTTGAAGATGTAGTACAGAAATTTACAGAGAAGACCTGGTGGCCACCGTACATAGGACTTATACCATAATGAAAAAATGTGAGTGTTAGTTACATCATGATTGTGCACTGACCTTCCCATTACAATAATGTGTGACATAGTAAATATATCGTAGCTTTAATGGCAGGATGGCAGGGTAGAATACAATTGTTACCAGTTCACCACCTCTGCTGTTCCCGTGGGTGTCGTAAGTGCGAACTAAGGGACCCCACGTGTGACAGAGACCGGGCACTTGTACGCTCTTCACTCTTCGACTACATAATTATGGATTGTGCATTGGCTGAGTTGACCGGCTTCTGTGCTTTATGTCGCAGGTTAAATTAAAAAAAATATTTGATAAGTTATTGTTCTGTGTGTGTACGTGTTGTGTTTGTGAATTTGTATGTTTATAAAATTATCTATGGTAATTATGTAGTTTGTGATCGATCTGAGTTTGAGGTTTCGACACTGGCAGTATAGTCTACAACATAATACTGGAGACTCTGGAAACGGTTGCCAAAGAGAGGAAAAAAAAAGTTTGTGATTGTCAAAAACCGATCTCAATGTTTTTTTTAGTTTCTTTTCTTCTTTTTTATTATCTTTTTTAGTTTTATTTTATAGGTATGTACACATATAAAGTTATTTATTTATTTTCTTTAGTTGCCATTTAAGTTCCTATATAAACTTTTTAGACTTAAGGTTCGACATCGGGTATTAATTTCGACCATAACTAAATTAGCTGTCGACGTCCGATAATGTTAAGCCCGTCTCACAATAATTACTTTTTGTAAGGGGTGCGGATCAGATTATTTCTCAGAATTATTTCTTAAAGAGATCTCCATTAAAATCATAATATCCTGAACAAGTTGTTGGGAGTTAATTAAAAGCTATTTTTAGATATTTTCAATTTATTACGCCATGACCTTTAATGAATTATTTTTTGTATAAAGATAAAATCTATTAAAAATGCGACTGTCAATTTTGTATTGATATTTTTGTTTTGTATTTTTTTTTTATTTACTGCTGATGTAGATAATGCCTTTTTCTAGATACATATTATATTTGACATTAAAAGTATTTAAATGAAATTTATTTATATGGAGAATCCAACACGTATATCACATGTATAGTGATACCAATTCCCCCAAAGCTCGTTAGTAACTATCTATAAATCTAATCTATCTATTTCTTATAATGTCACTTATAGAATATAAAACAACAAAAGTTCAGAATACAAGAAAAAAGGTATCCACTTAGGGATGAACAAAAATAATGGCTCATTGTTGTACAACGATAACAGTACACTTGGGTATAACACACCCCACTACTAAAATAAACGAAACCGTATCACTACTCACACACATACAAGCAACAACAACTCTTACGCCCTCAGTCTTAAGGTCGGGTATCTCGCACCCAACAAAAACGATACCCACACGCTCGGTTTTAAAATTCACGCCACGCGAGAAACATCCTTACATCCTTGTAATAAGGTTGGGTATTAGGTACCCGGCCGCAAGAAACTAACGGCCGACCTAATGGGACGGGTCGGCGACCTTGGTGTGACGCGCAAGTCCCGCGTATCTCCCCGACGCCCCGCAGTATTGCTGCGCCGCCAGCGAAAGCAAGACGTGCGTATTGTACTGGGTGATTTATACCCATTACCATAAAACTAGTTTTTAGTACACAGACTATTGTAATTTGTTAATAAATAGACAGAATAGTGTATTGGTATAGTTTTGAAGTGTAGTTTTAGAAGGATCTTAACGTGTATCTTACGTAAGTGGTTTTAAATCGGCGCGCGGCGTGAACCGGCGGCGCACGGCCGCCATTGTTGATTATTGGTTCGTACCTACTTATGTTTACATATTTTATGTGTGTTTGTTAAGAATTTATTTAATCCTGTATATGATGTAGGTAGTTATTGTTGTATATAGATGTATAGATCGTTTTCGATATTATTTTGTGGTATCTAATATCTATAATTAATACTTTAGTTTAGCGATTTTTTTTTTCATACTAAACATTGTTTATTTATTTAGCTGTGCCAATAGTTATCACTAGTTCCGGCAGTGATAGTGACAATAATTGATCCCAATTGTAAAGACTCCAATAATCAATTTTCGACCTTAACACAAAAGAATAAGATTGAAAATCTTTTTCTAATATTTTATATTTTGCGACTAATTTGTCTATATTAATTTTAGGATTTTAGGACTACAGGGTCAGTGTTTGTTTGTAGTATGTATTTGGTAGATAAGTAGTAATGGTACACAAAACTATCTGTTAAAGATATACTTTACTATACTTTATAACCAAGAGATAAGATTGATAATCGGTTAGCAAGATTCAACAAATTGAAGTACTAGTAGTAAAAACGCAACATTGGATTTAAAAGGATGGGTAGCTGACTTTCTGGTCACTTGTGGTACTTCGATAGTCACAAGAAGCACTGAGTTCGATTTCCAAATCGAAATTTTGTCAAAAATAAGTTTTTTTATATACATATATTGATGACGTTGAGTTGTTAACTAAACGTTGCCATTTAAGAAAGAAAAAATGTTTTGAATTGTTTTGGTACCTGCGGTTTTTTAACCAAACTATTTATAAGAAGAAAATACTATTTTTTCGTATAAATATTTTTGTAAAAACGAACTTTAATCACGATGCGACACCAAGTACTGTTTCCTGTCGCGGAGAACCTAACGGGTAACCGGGGCTCCGGCTCGACGTGCAGGAGAAGGAATGGGGTGGTTTTCAGTCAGTAAGAGTCTGACACTCCCTCCCGCCTCACCCAGGCGGGAGCAGTCATTCGATGATTCCCCCCCCCCCCCCCCTTAAAAAAACAAGTACTGTTTCCTATGTTATTATAATGAATACCAGCTGATTCAGATTATTACTATAGGACTCCGGAATGTACTTACCACACGTCACGCAAAACTAAACGTTTAGTGCGAAGTGATAAAGATAATTTTCGCATGATGTTATGTGAACAAAGCGTGTTGCTTTGTAGGACCTATTTAGTCGAAGTGTATACTCTATTGAACGTGGTATTTATGCAAGCACGAGTGTCGAGAAATGGGTCTCAGGTTTGATTCCTGAAAAGAGAAAAAATTGTTGTCCGAATATTTAAATAATATTTCTTTTTCTATTCTTCTTCGATAATTTAATTCCGTGAATCGTGTAAATACTAACTCAGTTATTGTAAAATAAAGTATGCAAAATCAATAAAGTCTAATTTACTTTGTCCACAGATCTCATCATTTCACCAAACTACTCATCACCATGGCGAGTTCATCATCAAAGAAACAAACAATGATGTTTGGATTTTGCGAAGCTTTATTAGAAGAAGATACGAGCAACTATGACTGCAATAACGATGATTATCCCCATCATATGGGAGGATGCGCTGATAGTGACACAGAACAGGAACTAAGTGATGACGATGGACATCGTGATGGACATGTATTTGTACAAGAAACTGAGGATGATACTATCTACACAGGCAAAGATGGCACAACAATATGGTATTCCAATCCCAACCAAGCCAACGTCGAACACCTGTCCATTAAACCATCCATACCAGGTGTAAACCCATTCGCAAGAAATGCCAAAACAGAAGTAGAATGCTGGAACTTATTCTTCAACGATGATATACTTGAGGATATTCTTAATTACACTAACGAGGAAATTAATTCCAAGACGTATGCAGAAAATCATAACACACGAGTCCATATTGTGAAGGAAACGTCTATGGATGAGATAATGGCTTTACTTGGGCTCATGTATATCACTGGGCTAAATAATTCTACTGGTTACAACTTAACTGATTTGTGGCGATCAGACGGTACGGGTGTCGATATTTTTAGAATGACAATGTCTTTGCAACGTTTCAATTTCCTCCAAGGCTGTTTGCGTTTTGATGATGCTGCAACTCGCGCACAGAGATCCGCAGTAGATAATATTGCCCTTGTCAGAGCCATATTTGATAAATTCGTTGGAAACTGCCAGAAAGTGTATAATCCAAATCATTTTCTCACATTAGATGTAAAGTATATACCGTTTCGAGGCGAATGTCCTTTCCGGCAGTTTATGCCAAAGACTTCAGCAGCCTATGGAATTAAAATGTACTCATTGGTAGATGCTAAAGATTTTTATACTATCAACATGGAAATAAATGCAGGTAATCAGCCATCTGGACCGTATGTAACAAGCTATGAACCTGTGGACATAGTTGATAGATTAGTAAGACCAGTCAGTAATACTGGTAGAAATATAACCTTTGACAATTATTTCACAAGTATACCCCTAGTCACATATTTACTACAAGAGCATATGCTTACCTGTACAGGAGCGTTGAGGAAGAATAAAAAAGAAATCCCCTTCAGCTTTTTAACAACCCAACCCAGAGGTGTAGGATCTTCACGATTTGGTTTCCAGAAACATATGACTTTGGTATCCCATGTGCCAAAAAAATCCAAAATTATTCTTTTGCTTTCTTCTTATCACCATGACAAGACTTTTGATCTCAAAGGTGGTGACAAACCGAAGCCAGAAATCATATCATTTTACAATGCTACAAAAACTGGCGTGGAAAATGTTGACAAGCTGTGCAAAATGTATGACGTCAGGAACTATTGTAAAAGCTGGCCGATCTTGATACTCTTCACAATGCTCAATATAGCTGCATTGAACAGTTACATTGTGTATATGGCAAACAATGACAATCCTAAGTTGAGAAGATCTGAGTATGTTAGGAAACTCGGTTTAGCTCTGGTCAAGCAACATTTGAAGACGAGAACGGATAAAAATAATTTGCCTCGGGAACTACGAAAGAGGATATTTGAACAAGTGGGTGAAACGCTTCTTGATCCTCCTGCGAGTGATGTGAAGCCGTACAAACGTTGCCGAGATTGTCCATCTTCCAAAGATCGGAAGACTAAATACTGTTGTCTTGAATGCAAGAAGCCAATATGCTTGCAACATGTCATTACTATGTGTCAAAATTGTACTTCTCTTGCTATTGATTAGTTTCAATATTTATCTCAATAGTATCTAGACAAATAAATTTGTCAAAGTTTGAAGTTCATTAAATACATGTAATATTACTAGTTACATCGTTTTATTTATTTGCACATACAAATAATATTAAAGATTTGATTACTATTAAAATTTATTGACATACCAGTTACTGTTGAATCACATTGATGCATTCTCAATATCAATTTATTGTTCGGGAAAATATTTTATTTATAAAACACAATCCAATGTTACTCAAGTAAGTACCTCTTTTTTCTCTTGCAATCCTAACAAAGAGCCATCAGATCACCACGAATTGGACCCAATAGGGCTGATGCCGATACGAAGCCTTGGAGGAATTAATGAGCTGCCAGGGCTCCAGCTCGAAGGGCAGGAGTAGGATCAAATAGACACTAGACTAAATATATATAGGAACTTCAAATAATTTCAAAACTAAATAGCGATAGCTTCCATAATATAATTCGTTAGAGCAGCAACAGTTTCAGACTAATTTGCATCGATAGCGGGGCTGGTGACAAAGGTAGTTGTAACAGTTATAGTTATCTTGAGCTGCCTTTGAGTTTGCTTCATTTGGCGGCTAGGTATTTGTAAATTAGCTACCGGCTAAGTTATTGGAGTCATGAATAAAATTCATAATACGGTGTATTTGTTGGTTTTAGGATTTCTCGTCGTTGATTGAGTGTTTATTTTATTTCAACTTAATTTTTTTCGGTTTTAGGTTCACCTCGAAGTGTGTGAAGACCTAAATATCTAAATGAAAACAGATCGCAGTACATTTTTGATACTCAAATTTGACTACGAATGTGAAGTCAGTCCAAATTCCTATCGATCCACATTTGAGCAGAATATAGTCATATGTATGAACCACCAATTACCATACTCAGAAACTTCGACGGTGAAATGTAGTTTAGTAGTTGTCCACTACCTTCCGCACACCTGTGCTCGCTTATTTAGGGTTTCACTTGCAAAGTTTGTGTTACACTATACTATTATGGTCGAAGCAAGAGATATAATATGTGTATTAGTAATACAGATGCTACCAATATCTTTTTTCTTCTTTTTTATGGGATAAGCCGGTGAACGAGCTGTCGAATCACCTTATGGCAAGTAATCAGAGTCACCCATGGACACCTGGAACACCGGAGGCGTTACAAGTGCGTTACCGGCCTTTTGGGGATTGGGAATTCAAAGATTGTGGGAAATTCGGAGATTGAGGAGCCTGGAGATGGGTGCGTAATTGGCCCCCCTCACACGATGAATTACAACGCAAGCGTTGTTTCACGTCGGTTTACAGTGAGTCCGTGGTATTACTCCGGTCGAGCCGGCCCTATTGTGCCGAAACATAGGTCTCCTTCACTTAGACTTCATAATGACGACATTGTTGGTGAAGTGACTGAACAACCAACTACTGCGTAATGTGTCTTGGGTTTTATCCCCGTGTTTAACAACTCTTTATGCGATCCACAATTGTTGGTTCAGCTATTCTATTCTATATTTTCCAATTCGAAATATCGAAGTAAACTCGATCGCGGTCCGCCATGTCTTTGGTTATGAGTATAGTCCTGACCAAGGATGGGCGAGAATCCGATCGAGCGCACTTTGAAAGTTCGAATTGACAGTTATAAAATAGCCCAGGTCTAGGTGGTGTGATTCAGAGTAGAAAATATTTACATAATTATAAGATATTATCATGATAATGTCTTTAACACACACCATAATGTACTTATTATTGTTAGAAGCAAAAATAATGCTAAAAGTACAGAACACAGTATGAGTTCTATATCAATAGCATTAGAGGTCTATATTGCCTGATATATGTTTTACACTTTGACGTGGAAGTTGGGCGTCATAAGGGGCCCAACAAAGACAATTGTATCAGGCAGCCAGACGATTTAGCTTAGCTTCCAACTTCAAATTAACGGACTAACTTTAACGTAGGTAATAGCTTAACCAGTATATTGAGAGCTGTCTATGCAGTTAGGCTGATCAATTAGTTGGGCTTCAAAACTATTGGCATAATAGTGATGATGACAGGGTATGAAAATTAAAAATGTAATAAGTCCGTCAGTTAGGTAATGAAAAAATATTAGACACGTAATTTTTTATTTTGTTATGACAAATTGATACTTAGATATAACGAATCAAAGTTTAGGAGTAGGGGCTAAAACGTCATTTCTACGTATAAAATGTACATAGAAGTGACGTCACGCGACATTTCAAATCAATGTATCTTCGAAACTATTCGTTTCCGAAAAAAATAATAATAATATGTGTCTAATGATTTAAAATAATCTACCAGACGGACATTAAAATAAAAATTAGTCATCTACCCTATTATGTGGTTACTGGTTTCTGCCTGCGAGTTCAACCCCGTTCCTGTGGGATAAAAAGTAGTCTTTGTGGAAAGAAGGCGAAAATTGAGAGTAATTTCAGCACAAAATAATATAAGTTATAATTAAAATCTACCAACCCTGAATGACGATGACCTCATAAAAAGCTAGTGTTCCTCGCCCCAATAAATTATGACGTCATCAACAATTCAACACTATCCAATTTCGTTGGAATAACCTTAGGATTTAAGTCCATCTGTTTCATACTGAATGGACTTCATAAGTTTCTCCGTTTCAGACGGAAACTTGTATATTCAATTTAATATTGATTGAACTTTCTCGCAATTTGGATCTTCTCTAGTTTGTAGATACAACGGATTATCATACCGCAAATTTGGATAATCTTTGATACATTAAATGAAGAGCGAAAAAATTTTGAAAAGAAAAAGTGGAAGTCCCGTAACGCCGGACGGCACCTAATGCCGGACACTTGTATTTTCTCGATAACTGATATCACTAGCGATTCAATTTTTACTAAAAATCTTAGCTGTCTGCCACTGGGTGACTTCTCCCTAAAATTGAATCGCTCGCGTTATTAGTTATCGAGATAATACAAGTGTCCGGCGTTAGGTGCCGTCCGGCGTTAAGAGACCTCCCCCTATAGCTTGTTTAGCTGACTTTTGATTGCCTCGTTGGCCAAGTGGTCGTAAGTGCGACTGTCGGGCAAAAGGCCTCGGGTTCGATTCCCGAGTCGGGCAACGTACTACTGAGTTTTTAAAAAAATCTCAGAAGGTAGTCACGGTAGTACACGGAGTCTGGAATCATGCCCAGTATATGGCAATAGGCTCACCCCCTATTACATGGGACACATAACATAAATAGTGAAAAGTAGTTACATTGTACAGTGGCATAATGTACACCTCTGCCTACCCCTTCGGGGATAAAAGGCGTCATGTTATGTTAAAGCTTTTTTGTAATAGGTGGATGTTTAGCCACTACCTTGGATCTTGTGTGTTTGTTAACGTATTTGTCAAGTTGGTTTTTTTGTTCGTGACGCTTCAATCTTTGTAAATATAAACGACTAGCAGCTCGTCCCGGCTTCGCACGGGGTAGACAATTATTTATTTTTGGAAATTTGGATTGTTGTAGTGACATAACTACAATATTTGGACATATGCTACCGCGGAGTTTTTTGTAGACATTATGATGTTCTTCAATATTGTTGTACATTATTTTGTTCTATCGCTAATAGTTTCGGCAGCGCATTCGACGAAAGATATTTTAACTCGTCGAGTACCGTCATCATAGACACAATTATAGAACAATAGGTTGCGGTCACCGGTGACCGCTTGGTGTTTAACAGTTTAAGACTCATTTTTCTACACCTTCGGTTACATTGCTCAAATTTTACCAAGGAACCCTATTTTTTTCAAAATGAAATGTAGCCTATGTCAAATTGGAAGAATGTAGCATTCTATTGGTGAAAGAATGTTTTAAATCGGCCCAGTACTTTTTGAGCCGATTCACTACAAACATACAAAAATAGGTACAAATTTTTCCTCTTTATAATATTAGTATAGATATAGACGGTGAATGTTAGACTCTTATTAACTAAAAACTACCCCAATATCGCGTCTCACACGTAATTTCTCCTATAGAAACAAAAAAGGAGTTATTTTTTTATCACATAGCACTACATTTTGTCACATAAATCACAGATTATAGAATCTGATAAGTAAAGGTCAAATGGCCGTTTAATTTGACGTTAATCAGTATTTTTAATCTGTGTTAATCTATTGTCATGTCAGCTGTCAGTCGTAAATCTTGTTAGTTCAAATAGAAGTTAATATCGAAGCTGACACGTTAATTCGTTAGGACAAGAGAAATTGTAATTTATGATCAAATTCCATGCACTGTTGTTATATTTTTTTTAGAACGATGAATATTGATCTGTTGTGGGACGCCTAACCATGCCTACTAATATTTATTGAATAATATAGTATCATAACAACAGTTATGAACCTCGAAGGATTATTCTGAAGTACCTACATATTATACCATTAAACATTATGTAGATTGTAACGCCTGATTTTTGCCAGTTATTAAGCGAGACTCATAACATTAAGTCATAACGATGAATAAGGCTTGACTGAGCCTATTAAAATAGACCAGGTATTTTTCTAGACTCCGTGCTCATACTGACATTTCTATAAAAAATACGAAAATCTACTAGACCTACTAGCCACTAAATAGTCATACTTGCGACCACTCGACAAACGAAGCGATCACAGTCGCAGTGAAATCAATAATCACCCCATTTTTGCACCCAAAGCCACTTGGCAAACACTCACAGCCTCAACGTATTCGAGCGAAATCTCGAACGTTGAAACTAATCAAACTACTAAAACCTTGTTTAAATCACCGCCAAGCTGCGTCTGACGTGGAGCATCAACTATTTGAATAGACCCGACTCCACGACAACTGTTGGTATTAGATTGTCGCTCGCAATCACTCGAGTGTTCTTCGCTCGAGTATTCGAGTGCTCGAGTTGTCGAGTTCTCGACTTTAACTTGCTCGATTCCGCACTTGACATTTAATCTTCGACGCGTATCGATTTAATGTTACGTTTACAATTTGTAATTGTTTAGTTTGATAATGAGTTATGTTGGTTGTTGTTTTCTGTTTTGTTTACTTTGTCTTTTGTTTAATCGATTGTGTGATTGGAAGCTTAAAATCTGATTGGTGCTATTTCCGAATCAGTTGACACAAAATTATTAAAATTATTTACAAACAGATGTGATAGGTAAAACCGATCACTTGATGGTATGATTAGCGCAGTTCATGGACACCACATAAAAGTTAGAATTGTGTTGCCTGTTTTTTTTTGCTCACATTCAATTCACACAGTATCGAACGACAACGAATAAGATACATTTTGGTATAAAAGGTTTCCTATAAGTAATTATTTTATCAGATTCCACTACATAGGTATTTTAGGAAGACTGTTCTTGTCATTTGACCTGCAAATACCATTTTGTTTTACTTTAAACTGTCAAACACCAAGCGGTCACCGGTGACCGCAACCTATTGTTCTATAATTGTGTCTACAAAACCGGTACTCGACGAGTTAAATGTAATAGGTAGCTCACCTATTTTTATCTATTTTAAACGTTAAGGTACAGTCATAAGCAAATTAAATTTGCGGTAACAATTGAAGCAGACAATAGTTAAAAATTGTATAAAACCACATCCCAAGTATCTAAATTGCCTGCTAAAAATTTCTTTGTACTCGCTTCAAACTAGAAATTCAATTATCTTTACAAATAATACCACTTCTGCTTTTAAGCTGTGTGGATCAATCATTCGTTATAAGGGAAAAGATAGAATTGGTTTTCTATTTATCGAAATTGGATAAATTAATTAATTGGTAAGTAAAAATATTGCGACGCAATAACAAAAGTGATTTAAGCCAGTAGGCTTAAATCACTGGACAGTATGGACAGTAGTCCACATTGCATCATTTGACGAATCCAATAGGTTGCCGATTCGTGGACAGTTTTCGTTGTTTCTTAGCAAAATGCAAGCATTTGTTTGCAAGGCTCATTGTTTGTGAAGGATGAATGCATTCGTCAAATGACGAAACATAAATAACTATTTAAAAAAACGTTATTGAAAGACAAATGTAGGTGTAGGCACTGTAGTGTATTTCTAGTATACAATTTTGTGTAATAAATCATAGGAAATAAAACGTATGTGATGCAGTAAGATAGCTAATGGAGAGCATAAGTAAACGGCTTCCATAAAACAAAGCTTTCTTGGAGGAAGTGTACCGAATGCTACTATTAACGTAAGTAACTCCCATTTTTTATAAACACGGGACTAAGGTAAATATTATGTCTGTTTGTATTCATATAATGAATTACCTATATAAAAGTAGCTTGGTATATCCATCGGTATAGTATATCAATTGGGTAGTTTCCTGGGTAAAAAAAAAATAATTTTAATTTTTAACCCTATACTTGGCAGAGAATTTAACCTTTAAAAAATTAAACTTTTACTACTTCCCTGTGTTAATTGGATTATAAGGATATCAGGAAAATTAAAATAAAAAATCCGTGAATTTCAGTTTTCAGGATATATTATGTGTCTTCCAGTGCACACTGCCAAGCTCACAAGAAAAAACCTACAAAAAAATATGTGTCTTTACATGCACACTGCCATGTAATCACAAAAACTAAAAAAGAAACAATAACATAAAAATAATATTGAAATTGAAAAATATCAACAAGTTTTGAGATCAATTTGAAACTAGGTTTGCTACGGTTACAATATTATGACATAGGTAGACATTTTTTTAAACAAAGCTAAACTATATATTATTATTTATCACAATATTCAGTTCTAATGCTCTGAGATCAATGTTTACTCACATGCTACTATGTAACAATGTGAAAAACTTAAATACTACTTAATATGAAAATCTATAAAGCAATTTCGCCCTTCAACTATACACAGTCGTGCGTTACACTTTGGACAAAAAAATTTGGTTTGATGTTTAGTACATAGTCTACATCTGCCTTTTGTCATAAAAGCAGGAAGATGTCCAGTTAGGTCGTAACGAGTAGCATCATCAGGCCTCTCCGCAACAGGCTTTTTTATTTTTCTCTCAGTTTTGGAAATGGCATCTGGTTGTATATTAGAACTCCTCTCAAAAAAACGCAGTTGCCTAAATAAAGTGACTCGAAACTTTTTGAGTTGCAATAGTTTTTGTTTACCACTGTTCTCGTGACGATATAGCAACCAGGCATTATTGACACAGATGTCCAGAATCTGAGAAAATAATACTAAATACCAACGATGTCCTTTTAAATCAGTACGGTATAAAGCAACTAACATGTCGGCTAGATCGACCCCACCCATATTAGCGTTATAGTGCTTTATTAAATTTGGGCATGTGACGAGACCTTTTTTCTTCTCTTCTTTCTTGTATCGCATTATGTTATGTACAGGGTGAGCATCCACATAAGTACTTGCAGCTACCACACACTTGTTGTCGAACCATTTCACAACAGCGATGTTGTGTTCGTTTGACACGACCTGTGCAAAAGCTCCCCTGCCCTTTTTTTTCATCTCCTTATCACTTGGTAATTTTTTCTCTGCCCCACGAAGCCGATTTGTCCTGACTGTACCTAAGGAGAATATACCATACTCATTCCTTAGATGATGCATCAATTCAATTGACGTAAAAAAGTTGTCAAAGTATAGTACGGAGCATGGTTTTTGCTTGATTGATTTGGCCAAAGCTATTACAACCTTGGCTCCAAGACCCATACTTTTTTCTTTTTCAGCAAAAGTATGGAGTCTGAAAGTGTCTTCTCCTCCATAAATGATAAAATCATGTACTAGGCCGGATGGTGAAGCACGAACGAAAAACTTAAAGCCCCATTTTTTGGGTTTATTCTTTATGTATTGTTTTCGGCTTCCGGCTCTAGTACCCTTATAAGGCACCATCATCTCGTCGATGCTAAAACGTTTTCCTTCAGGAATATTGGACGCACAGTTACGACGAACTTTTTCTATTAGTGGCCTTATTTTGTAATATCTGTCACCGTCATCTTTTAAGTTGTCATTAAAATGAATGTAACGTCTAATACACTGAAACTTCTTTAACGTCATGACGTCAGCAATTTTACTGTATTTAAATTCGTTTGACCAGTAATCGGTGTATGCCGGCATATCTACAACACCCATTAAAATATTTATAGCGATGAAGTCTTTAATATCCTCTTTGGTAATATTAATTGATGTGCCCTTTTTCTGCACAGAATACAAATTAGAATGATATACAATAAGTTCTAGTATATCGTCAGTAAAAAATAACTTAAAATAATCAAGCGGTGATTTTTCAATATCAGTAGAATCGCAAAACATGTTATCTTCTATAACTGCTGATCCTTGAAATTTCGTTTTTGTCCATTTAGGAGACAGTTTGGTAGGTTTCAAAACGGTTTTTTTTACGATTACCGGAGTTTTCTTATAACGCCGAAGACGTACAGTAGCTGCGGCAGCTGCGGCAGGGGCTGAAGATGCGGCAAGTGCTAATGATGCGGGGCTGCAGATTGAGTCTATTGATGGTGACGGTGGAATATAAACTGATGGCGAAGGCGGTATAATATCAGGATCGTGTTGAAGAATAGAAGGTGAGTATGAAATAGAGTCGGTAGTGTTTTGTCTGATTCTCGGTTCTTCATGGACAGAAGCAACGGCATATATTTCTCGATACTCACAGTCATCAGAATCGGAGATGTTTACATTTTCGACGGATGACGCTATTGATCGGACCGGGGAGCTGTCTTCGGAGATATCTTGATGAGGTCTACACATCTGGAATTCATCTTCCGAAGATTCGCTAGATTCTACATCAGACTTAGCTCCGCATTTAGGCACCAACGCTAGAATTTTTCGACTTCTAGTCATCTGAAATTAAAGTATTGCAAGCTAAGGAACAGCAATTTGGTGGAAAGTTTTGTTATCATGCATTATCAAAAAAACTCTGTCTGAAAAAAGGCTCGAGTACGTAGTAGCACAGTAAGCAATGTGCATTTATAGACACAACAAGTAATATCTTCACAAATAGTAATAATCTATGACATTGGCAGTGTGTATTTATATGTACACGACAAATAGGGTGTTAATCACAGCAAAGCAGGCAGTATGCATTTAAATATACACAACAAATATTGAGTCATTCATACTGCACCAGGCAGTGTGTATTTGAATGCACACCTAACAACAATCGTGAATTACTGAACATGCAAAACATTTATCACAAAAATAATATAAACAGACAATTGCGTAAAGCTTGCAGAAAGTAAAATTATGACGATTTCATACATTTAACTTAATTTAAGTGAGATAAAATACGATACTTACAGAGCGTTGCGCAGACGCTGACCGACGGCTCGCCATTTTGTTCAGCACTGACAATGTGTGAGCGAGACAAATATAGATTTCTTTTTCTTACGTAAAGAGATGTTTACGAAGTCACTTAGAGTTATTATTAAAACGATATGATGTAATATTTTGTTAAAAAAAAAATGAATTCAATGTGCATGTGAGTGCACAATGTCAAGTATAGGGTTAAATCCAATTAAATATTGAAAAATTTTGTATTGACAAAATTAATTTAAAAACAGCTCACTAACATGCAAAATAAAATTACCACCTTACTGATAAAAAGAATACATGACTTCTAATATCCACGAGGACGCATATTTACTAACAACATATCGAATACATTATTTTTCAATATAGAATTGTATATAAATAAGCCTTACCCTTTTCGACGAGTACTTGCAATACTAGCCGTATTGTGACCCTTTTCTTAAATATCATTCCCGAATACGTACCTAACTTGTTTATTTTGTTAGGAAAATATTCACACTGCTGTATGCTGGTAAGATTTTGACTGATATTGTGCTGCCATTACAAAAATATATGACGTATAACATAACATCACGCCTTTTATCCCCGGAGGGATAAGCAGAGGTGTACATTACAGCACTTAATGTAAAGCCTACTATTCTCTGTGTTATGAGCCTATTGCCATATACCGGGCACATTAGAATGAAAACAACAAAATCAACGAAATCAGAGATTTTTTAAATAACTCGGTAATACTTTGCCTGACCCGGGAATCGAACCCGAGACCTCTTGCCCGGCAGTCGCACTTGCAACCACTCGGCTAACGAAGCAGTCTAAAAATATATGATTTCCTATTAAATCTAAGATAACCTGTGACAACACTTTGGATGACACCGAACCTTAAAATTGTGATCTAAAACTGCCTGGCAAGAGTGGAAATTATGGTACACCCTGTTATGCACAGGAGACCCTTAATCCAGCAGAGAACTGTTAGGAGCTGTTAATTTTTTATTTTTTGTTAAAAAGTCACTAACATAAAGTGAAAATTTTAAATAACATACAGCCAGTAAATTTTTTCATTGAAAATAATGCCTTCATTTAAATAGCGTTCTAACTGAATTCACTCAATTTTAAAAACAAAAAATAAAAATTACATAAATAATGCGTTAAAATGAATTCCATATTTAAACAAACTGTTTTAATTTGATACCGCAAGTGCTAAACCGCACATGTTTGTACTAATACACAATTTGAATTCGCCACCCAGAATGCAAATGTGTCTAATACTAAATTAATATTATAATGAAGTTTGACTTTACGCTGCCCGGCTTGCGGTGTAGAATAATATTGTTCGTTAAATTTTTATTATTTGCAAATATTTTTGGAGGTAGATGAAAAAATAATTTAATTCATAATTTATATTTCGTTTGATTTATTCGATTGTTTGTTTTTTGAAACGATTTGTTGAAAAATGCATTCTTCAGAGGGAACATTTTGGCGCTGTCATGTGAGTAAGGTATGTTTACAATGGAATAAACATACCTTATAACGTAATTAGGGAATTCAGAGTAAACTTGGTAAACTTCTGCAATTTAACCGTCTATTCGGTTAATTAATCATAATGATTAAATGAAAATTGAGCTGCCTCATTGTCCGAGTGGACGCAAGTGCGACTGCCGGGCAAGGGGTCTCGGGTTCGATTCCCGGGTCGGGCAAAGTATTACTGGGTTTTTCAAAAATTCCCAGTAGTAGCACGGAGTCTGGAATTGTGCCCGGTAGGCAATAGGCTCACCCCCTATTACATGGGACTCATAACATAAATAGTGAAAAGTGGGTGTTACATTGTACAGTGGCATAATGTACACGTCTGCCTACCCATTCGGGGATAAAAGGTGTGATGTTATATTATAAAATCATGAAAATATTTAACAAAAAAAACATCCTTAGGTGCATTCATTCTCTTGTGTTTTAGCAAAAATTTCAATTGACGACCAAAATCGCTTATAAACCAAATACAATTAAATTAGCTTCCTAACTACAGCACTGAACTGAAATGTGTTGATTGAAAACTCATTAATATTTATCGAGGCCGCCCAAACCCCGCACAGATAGACATGTTATAACATAATACCAGCCTGTTTGAGAATATTGTCAGTTCACCGTATCAGCTTCATGTTGTCTAAATTGGTATAATTCTGTAAGCTACACTGTTTCTAATTCAAAGATTTTATCCAAATAGCTGTTGTTTTAAAGAGATATCATCAAATAAACAAAAAAAAAAGAAAAAGAAGCTGATTAAAGGAAAGGTTGCTCATAGGTAAGCGTGCTCCATCGTCGGCCACAAATTCGCTTACCATCAAGCGAGATGGCGACCAAAAGTCAATTTATCAAGTATTGTACGGTTTTATAACCGCAAAGCAAAGAAATACGACAAGTATATTTGTAACTTTTACCAAACTTAATATAATTGCAACTTAATGTAAAAAATGCAACTAACAACTATAACTTGTGATCTTTTCTGTGAGCTACTACACCTTCTACAACTACAAAACTACAGTGTAAGGATCTAACTGGACCTCACAAATATATATATATAAAATAATGGTAGACAAGGTTCTAATTTCAATACCTATCTAGACATACATTACTTTAAATATTTAGTTAGTAAAAAACGAACAGAGAGAGAGAGAGAAAAACTTTTGCCATTTACCGAACACAATTTCAGACTCCGCATCCCTATCATCAACAATCCATTTTAGCTTAGAGCTACGCGAATGCAACAAAGCTGAAGAACTATGGGCCTTTAAAAGAAATTTGATAACTAACCTAACAAAACCGTTAACGTCTATTTAGCATTGTTATAAAGTGAAGGTACGCCTTTCAAACATTTTGAAATAAAATAAAAATAAAACAACATTTTCCTTTTTTCTTAAATTTGTTTTATATTCTCACGTTTCACTACCATATCGTTTTACCGGCACTATCTACGGAGCCAGTTTATTTACCAAAACAATTATTTTCCCCCAACTCACCCTTGGGCTCCAGGATCTTCATAATGGACGTCGTAACTTGGCCCAAATTCCCCCTATTTTTGGTACCGTTATCTGATCTGCGTTTCGGACCGACTAAGTATAAACATTCGCTAAGATCCGAAAGTGTTCGTATTTTTTGTTCTTTTGTTTTGTGATCAACAGTTTTGTTTTTAATTTTGAGAAAAGATACCGAATGTTATTTGTTGAGTTTAAAAGTTGTGGAGACCGCTTGTTGTAAATGTTTTCGGTAGTTTGCGCGAAACGCAACCATGACTACTTTATCTTGTTGAGAACCATGTATAAGCATTTTGATAAATCTTTATAGTATTGAGGATTCAGAATAACATGGTTGGCGTAGTGGCGTAAGTGTGCTCAACTATACACCACGTCATGACGATTTTCTTACTCATGTATTGTGACAAAACCATAATTTTTCACATCAGGACATAATAATAAGTATAGACACACATAACATCACGCCTATTATCCCCGAAGGGGTAGGCTGAGGTGCACATTATGCCACTATACAATGTAACACCCACTTTTCACTATTTATGCTATGAATCCCATGTAATAGGGGGTGAGCCTATTGCCATATACCGGGCACAATTCCAGGCTCCGTGCTACTACTGAGGATTTTTAATAACCCAGTAATACTTTGCCCGACACGGGAATCGAACCCAAGACCCCTTGCCCGGCACGTGCAAACGAGGCAATAATAAGTACATAACCTAAACATGAAATAACGCCTAACATCAAAACAATTCAGAATATGTGGCTTATAATATAACTTACCAGTACGATTGCTAAGATTACTCGAGTTACCGATGCAATACTCCGGCAGATCTAATCTAGAACACAATAGGTTATGCCTAGGTATGGTAGGCACAAGAATCTGGTATGCAGGTTAGAAAATATAGATTGATTTAGTACATAGACAGTAGTCCATGGTTGGCTTAGTTACCGCACATTGGTTTGGTTATCTGGCTTTAATTAAAAAATATATATGTTAAAAAAATACAATAACCGCAGTTTGTGATTTAATTCTTGGCATGGTTGGCACAATAACTGAATAACTGGCTGCTGCATAACTAAGGACAGGGTTTGATCCCCGCACGGGGCAATTCTTTAAATGATGCAGAAATTTTAGTTTTCTGTTTGAACTGACTGTGTGACTGCCGGGCAACGGGTCTCTGGTTCGATTCCCAGGTCGGATAAAGTAATACTAGATTTAAAAAAATCTCAGTAGTAGAACGGAGTCTGGTAATGTGCACCTTTTGGGGATAAAAAGCGTGATGTTATGTCTGAATGTGACGAATCTACAAGAAATCACTCCCCAAGTCCAGCAGCTGTAGCCAAATGCCATTTAGCGCTTGTCTACATGTAGAATAGAAAACCAAATTATATGGAATTGACGTAAAGTTTGACATTTGTCAGTGTCATCCCCATTCATTTTGATTTCTACTCTCTCTGTAGACAAGCGCTAAAGTGGCGTTTGGCTAAAGGCAGGGCCTTTGCCTTGGCTTTGTTGGCTACAGCTGCTGGTCTGACCAAAGAGTTTTTAATGACAGTTGAGTCTTGCTAACTGTACATAAAGTTTGTTATGTTGAGCATTTGCTAATGCATCCTATATATTGGATTTGCATGAATAGATTACTATTTGGATACCCTGTATTTATGTATAGGCATTGTGACTGAGGAGGCATTGTCTTTGGCTTTTGTTTTAGGCACATACATATGTGTAGTATAATGTCTATAGGTAGTGCTAATTCGTTAACCTGATTGTTGTTGAAGCTTAGCTTCATTGTTATATGCTTGTATTATTGAATCAACGAATTAATTGATTGTATCCTCGATGGCCGAGTGGCCGCAAGTGCGACTACCAGGCAAGGGGTCTCGGGTTCGAGTCCAGGGTCGGGCAAAGTACTACTGGGTTTTTAAAAAAAATAGCACGGGGCCTGGAAATGTGCCCGGTATATGGCAATAGGCTCACCCCCTATTACATGGGACTCATAACATATATAGTGAAAAGTGGGCGTTACTTCTGTGTGGTCCTCTGCCTACCCCTTCGGGGATAAAAGGCGTGATGTTATGTTGTGTTATATTGAAGGGAAATTGGAAAATTTCCTGTGAAAGAGTATCAGGATAATTCCCTTTCACATTTTATAAATAATAAG